TGACATGCAATGAAAATACTTACCCAAATTGCCACTTCCGTCTGCGCAGTGCAAGGGTTGCGGGCCGCGCTCGCCTCCAGCGCATTTCCATTCTGTTTCTCCGTACCAGGTGTTGCAGTCTTTCTCCACATTCTGCTCCAGAGTCTGGCAGAGTCCGCCTCAGGTTTGGAGGCGGGCTGAGATCTTCAGACGGAAGTGCCATCCGCAGCAAAGCACAGACTGGTCCCGCTGAGTCCCGTTCCCCTGGATCGGACCACACTCGGACCCAGAAAGTCGGACCCACCTGATATTATCCCCGATACTGGGGTTGATCACTTGGGGAAGCCATATATTTACCTAATATTATATATATAAAGTATTAGGTCCATATCAGCTGGGTCCGACTTTTTGGGTCCAAGGCTGGTGCACGGAGGCTACAAAAAGGAGTCGATGTGACAGTGTGTGTGTGTGTGTGTGTCCATTTCAAAGCCGCCTCCCCAACCAGCCATAAAGAGAGAAAGGCATATTGAATTTATGACATGCCGCCGGCCCTGTCCGTCTCAGCAAAGCTCACGAAGTGCTGAGTGGCATTGTCCGTGAGAATGTGCGTCTTCTCCTTGAGCCCACACCGATATGCCATGGCTACATGTCCTCTGACAAAACAACAATTGACAGTGGGCTTGCATCTAGCATGCATCAGTACCCACATGCGCATTTTTTGGAAAGAGTGCATGCGTGTCTCTGTGCATGGGAAGATTTCGCTTGCTGCCGCATTTTAGCTGTGGCTCACTTCTCAAGCTGCCGGACACCAGCCGCAGCGCCAGCCAGAAGCTCGGTGACCGCATGCTGGAAAAAGTTGAAGCGTGAAATGTGTTGATCATCTGAGGACTTTCGGGGTAGCGCTCGGACACACAAACAATATATCAAGCTCTCGAGGTTTGCACTTTAAAAGAGCGAATCCCGGGATCTCGTGTCATGGGTCAGTGTGCAGTTGGAACACACACACACACAAACAAAAAGTGTGCTGGGAGTTAAGTCTGCCAAGCCTTGAGCATCCGGCATCGTTCTGAAAAAAAGCCGAAACATACTTGAGACCTTTTCTCTATGAAGCCACCTGGCTGCGATCACAAATGGCCGACAGAAACCTTCGCTGTGACAGTGCAAGAACAACTCGTTTTCTGACCTTTGAAGTGGCATGCATCATCCAGGGCAAGAGGTGAAGCAATCAGTGCAAGGATGTGTCAAAGTCAGCTTTGACTGGTTTCCGTGTTGCAACCTTGAACCAGCAAGACGCATCAACTGCACAAACGACCGCTCTGCCTAGTCCCCTCCAAGCTTGTGTAGGAGGCAACAGTTTGTTGTTTGAGCATCGTTCATTGCCAAACACAGAAACTTGAATGAAGCTTGCAATCTGATGCAATCTGACCTCCGCTTAATGCTCCTGACACTGATGGAACCAAAACAACTGCCAAGCTCCCGCAGAGCCTTTTCGCCTGTGCAAAGGCGAAAGGACATGCATGAAAAATACACGGACGCTGTTGAGTGCCCTGCGTTCTCGCTGCGGCCGACATGGCGCATGGTCATGTGGGCAAATGCGGGGGTTCGCAATAGATGTGAGGTCATGTGCGTTGCTAATTGTTCTGCCCTCCAAGCTCCTATGCAGTCAGTCGGAAAAGTTGAACATACAGAAACATACATAGGTTCCGCAACGTGGCCCAGTCAAACATGCCCAAAAGCAAGGGGCATGCAGAAATGACCCAGTCTGCGTGAGACGCAGGACAAGTTCATGGTCCATGAGCAGGCAACAACGCTGCAAGTCTGCACCCCCAGTCTTCAACTGCAAGTTCCCCCATCACAGGCATGTTAGCTTGCAACAATCCTCAACACCGCAGCACCCACGCACAAGCACTGTGGGATAAGCAAATGTTCTGTTCAGCAGCGCAAAGAGCCATCTCCAGAAATTGGGTAAAGCACGAGATGTCCCGAAACTGCAACTGCCCATCCCTCCCGCGCACGAGTCCCATGGCCGCTGTGCCCTTGGCGGCCTGGCGAGATAGAACCAGCCCCTGGTGCCCTCATGCAAAATCTTAACGTTCTTTTTCCTTTGAAGTGCGCAGGCAAAAGTGCGCCAAACCTGCTTGTCGACCCGGCCAAGAAAGTGTTGCGTGGCTGGCTGAGTGTCAGTTGGGCATTGCCAATCTGAGGGGGGTCCGTGTAATTAGCGGTCATGCTGCTGGAGCACACAACGTAGCGTTTGCCCATGGAAAGGCTGACATGCTGCTTGAAAATGCCACTAGGGCGAGCCTTTCCAAAAATGCAAGGCCGTCTTCGCTGCTGCTACAAAGCACAAAGCGCAAACAGCTTTCTGATAAATGCCGAAGTCAAGACCAACTTGTTCGGCACTGTGGCAACATGTTTTCCACCTCACGATTGAAAGCTACGTCACACGCTCTGCATACGAAAACCCCCCACATTTTGTATGTTCCATATGGGTTCTTCTTTTTTAGGCGACCCCCACAATGGTGGTTATGTTGTTGGCTTGCCTTTGAAAACCAACCAACAGGGGGTCCCCCAAAAAGGATGACACACCCATGTCCCATCTGACAAAGCCAATGGACTCCCGCGTCCGCCTGGCTCGTGGCCTCACGTGAGGGATCTGCCTCGGGCGGGTTGAGGCAACGAGAGTGGCGCCGAGTAGCGGATCCTCTGCTTGGATTCCTTGAACGCTGGCATCGCAGAATGCTGGTTGGCCCATTTTTCAAGATAGTTGGAGTTGGCCCACTGAAAACTGCGATCTTGAAGAGCTGCTCACCCGGTTGCAGGCAGCTACTGCCTCCCGCGAGGAGGAAGCAGGACCTTCAAGGCTCACGGCACAAGTTCTGAGCCCCTGCGCGGCCGGATCTTTGACTGTAGAGGCTGCAATGGTGGCTTGGTACCTGCAAGGCGTGCAATTGAAGCATATTGAAGCGCACACGCATAGGTAGCACACACGCACAGGTACCTGCATGTAAAACGCGAAACATGTACGCGTGTACAGACAGAAGGCTGATTGCCAAAGTGCGCAATTAGCATGTTGTATTGTTGTTCCCGTCATTTTGTCCTGCTGGCCGATGTCAAATGGAACTGCGTGGTGTATGCGTGTATCGTTACCAAATGTGAGCGCAATGGAAAACATGAACGCTATAGCAAGTTTACTGGGGATTTAACAAATAAGCGATAAAGCACTGCGACTGCTGCGACTACTGCGAAGGCTGAAGCCGCTGCAACTACGACCACCTCCGCTGCTGCCACTGCTGCTACTGCTGCCACAACTACTGCAACCAGTACTGTTGCTGCTACAGTACTTCTGCTGCGACTCTTTTCATTAAAAAGGACGTGTGAAAGAGTAAACACAGCAAGAACACCAGCATGCTCTCTCACCTTCGCGGCCCAGCCCTGGCCTTCGCGCCATAGCACAGCACCTTCCAGGAAAGTCAAACGTAACGTGTCGTCGCCGGTGGCACGGAAAAATCGCCAACAACGCCTGCAACTCCTGCCCCGAGCCGAAACTTTAGGGCCCTCTCCGAATGCTAGGTCCCTTTTGCAGATCACCAGAGAAGAGGGGGCACGCTGTGTCCTGCCTCCGGCGTTGCCCCAGGCACTGAGAAGCGCATACCTGTGGGGTCAAAGCTTAAAGAGCATCGGCGACC